AGTTGTAGAGTTAAAAGAATAAAATGGCAAAGAAATTGAGAAAATTGTACTATGAATTACCTTTCGGTTATACTATAATTGTTTCATGCTTTGTATAAAAGACTTGCCAAAGATAACCCTTTTTTGAATTGACAAAATTAGATAGCCAAACAAAATTATACAGCATTTTCCCCATGCTAATTAAACAAATAAGGTCTTGGTGGGGAAAGAACTTTTACCAAGATGCAACAGCTGGGGACTTTGGATTCTAACAGAGAACTTGAAGAAGTTCATCTTTGAAGCTTCCAAACTTTATACATTTTTCTGCTCCAAAATTTTGGCTAGCCAGTCTCTTTCTGTTAACACACAAGATTCCCAAAATAAATAGTATAAAATGCAGCATATATTCCTTCCAGCATACACTTATTAGACTAGAGAGGGATGATTCCGGTTTTCTAGGAATGAGTGAATAATTTAATGATGATGACATGTATGCACAGATCTTTCTACTAAGCACTGTGATTGCATCAAAGTTTATTTAAGAACATGACCTGCTAATTTCAAGGATGATTTATACTATCATACACCTGTGTATAGTCTCACTTCAAACTTAGATATCTAATTACTCACCTGTAAAGACTATCAGTGCAGCAACTAAAATTGGAGACACATTTGTACCAAATTATTTGGAAACTTCAATAAAAGAAACTGTGTTAAAATATCTGGGAAGACTTGAATTAAGAAAAACTAAAAAAAATAAATACTGATTTATAATTCTATTCTTGTTGTATTGTTACATCAAAATATTATTTAAATTCAGTCTACATTTTTAAAGGATGTGGTTGTTATCTGGAATTTCCTGGACTATTTGTTTTCTTCCTCAACTTTACATTATTCTTAACTGACAAAAAATATTTTAAAGCAGAGATATGGGAATTTCAGTTTGAAAGTACATATTTTAGTCCAATATACAATATATTTAATAAATCTCCTAGAATTCATACTCTTATGTATATAATTTGTATTCCCCTTTTCATTGTTAAATGTTATTCCAAAGCAGATTGCGTGTTTTATTTAAAAATTCATTTTTTAACATTTTTTATTTAAACTATTAGTTGATGCAAAAAAAAATGGGACTTTAACCCATATGAACCCATTGTATGAAACTGTTAGAGTAGAAATATTCATCTGAATATCATATCCCTCTAACAGGGAGATCAATTTAGAGCAAAAGGAATTATGCAAAAATTAGTATTTTCGACCTAGTTTGCGGATTTCTCCAGCTATGTAAAACATTGGAAGTATTTTTTTTTTAAATAAAAAAAATTACAATATTTGGACTTTGTGTTTTAGGATAGATCTTCAAGTGCTGAAATATCACTTGAAGGAAAAAAAGAAATAGAGGAAATATAGTAAACGTTCTAGATGTTTTAGAAGAATGGGAATTACGGTGGGCAATTAAAGGTAGTGAGATTTTTTTTAAGTATCCTTATGCTGTTCAGGAATGTTTCAAAAGGAAAAATAACTTTTGTTTCATTGCCCAGTTTCTAGAGACATATTTGGAGCAATAAAATATTCATGACTGGGACTTTCCTCATTTTAGTTATTTTTTAATTATATATAATGCAGCAAGGGGAGGACCTCTTCTCTTGAAAATCCCTTTCCAAACATGAGCTCAGGACAAAAATTCTTGCAGATCATGCAGTAGACATAATAAGGAAAGAGTCGTTGCTCTTTTTAAAACAATCTATTACACACAACTTAATAATTTTCAGATACAATATTTTGAGATGCAATGCCCCAGATTCGCAGACAATTTGCTGTTAGTTTATTCCCTAATTATATGCAGAGCATATGGTTGCTAAGACTGCTTTATACCAAACAGTTAATCTTACAAAAAGTGTGTGTGTGTGTGTGTGTGTGTGTGTGTGTGTG